ATTATTGCCCTTAAGTCCCACTTCTGTGACTGTTTTCTTTCTGCAATATTCTTTCTTACTTATTTCTTTGTATGTTGACTGGTTTCTTCTCAGGGTTAGCAAAAACTCCACTCGAATATTGTGTGAATTTATCTTTTCATGGTACTATGTATTAAAGCCTCACATTATCTGGGACCTTAGCGCTCCAACTTCTTAATTTCTGTCCACTGTTTCTCACCTATCTAGCATCTTAAGCAAGTGAAATATTATCACCAAGAAAAACAATGGATTCAGCATAAAAATCAAATTGAATGGAACTATGATGAAGTATGAGGCAAGATGAAGAACTGGAGCCCAATCAAGAGTGCTATTCATCCTCTGAATCGCAAGAGTTGGAAATATTTGCTTGGTAAGTTTTAGAATGGTTAAGGATTAGTGACTGCTCTGTGCCCCCTATTCATACTTCTTGCAAATGAAAATATTTATTGCTGGTTTCTTGTCTTTCCATGTTTTACTACTCTGGGTAGGTTAGGAATCATTGAATAACATATTTTTTCATTTTATACCTTTCTCTATCAAGGAGGTCCATATCTACAACTAACATAGGCTTCAAATTGCTGGTCTTTATGCCTGCAGCCTGCCTTGAAATGTTGAGACTTTGGTCCTTTGGAGAGAAATTGAGAGTATTTTACATGTAAAGAAGCACATTAATGAATGGTTGTAAACAAAGACTATGGTAATCCTGGTAATCGTGATGATGGTAGGAATTAATGATCTCCCTAGATCTGTACCTGTTGCATTCTCCAAAGCTCTAGGATAGCTTTTCTACATAAGCAACTTCTGATCCTAGACCTCAAAAAGCTTTATACTCTTACATGTTTTCTTCCACTTTAAGGCTTTCTTGTATTTGGAGTAACCTTGACAGGATAGACTGCTAGATGGTTACAAGACATGCACAAGATGACCACAAAGAAAGGAGAACCAAGGCAATACAGCTGACACCCAGCCATATTCCAGAAAGAGAGATGCCCATCTACTTTGCAGATGATCAAAGTGTTAAGAGGAAGCCAATTCAAAAAGCACCTAATTTGCTGACCCTAAAGAATCATAAGCTAAGACATGGATGTTGTGGAAGACATTGAGTGTTTTGATGGCTTGTTTTCAGCAATTCCCAATAGAGACAGTCCAAAATTGTACCTTATTACAATTTATTTTTTATTCCCAGAAACCACAGCTTACAGGAATAATTATTTAATGTCCCAATTTTAAACTAAAGGGGTAAGACTCATTGATTTTCTCTGTCCCCAAATTAGTTCATCTTGATTTAGATGTTTATCTTCTGAAACATGAGATGCTGGGGGAGAGTATCTGATATCAATAGTACATTGCTGGCCTAAAATATTAGGAAGATTATCCTCCCCCACCAACCAAGAGCAAATGATCCAGGAGAAAATGTATAGCCTCTTCTTTTCTACAGTATTATATTAAAGCTTCATTCTTACTATTTCCCTACCAAAAAAAAAAAGCCACTAATTTAAAAATTACATAAGAGTTCATATTTTAAGACACAATTCAAAAACGAAGAAATGAGTAAGCCATAGGTTAATAATATTTAAGTTAAAAATATTTAGTTCCCTAGCATTTAGTGAGGGGAAACGCTGATTCATCATTATTTTGTTAAACACAGATTTAAATCATGAAAAATAGTTTGATCAGGAAGTAATAACACTGTATATTCAAATGAATAGAATATGAGTCCTATCTCAGAAATAATTATTAGTATTACGTATTTTTGTTTTTTAAAAAAATGGGTTAAAATAAAGTCAGCATTTAATCAAAGAAGATAGAAAAGTAAAAATGAAATATAATGGCATTGAAATAATGGGAAAAAAAATGAAAAATAAAAAACGAAAGTAAAAAAAAAATAAAGGGAAATGTTGAAATAATTCCAAGACCAGGAACACTGAAAAATAATAGCTATGATATTAAGGACTATAAACTAGGAAAAAAAGAGGAAATTCAAAGATTGAAAGTAGAAATTCTAAGAAAGATTAAACTGAACAGCCACTGATGGAGCAATTAAATGGAATACATAGACCCCCATGTAAAAGAAAAGAAAAAAAAAAGAGATGTCCTCTCACTCCAATTAGAATGGTAGACATCAAGGGTACTGGGATCAAATGCTGGCGAGGATATGGGGGCAAAGGAACAGTTTTACACTGTTGGTGGAATTGCATATTAGGACAATCACTAATTAGTATGGACCATCCTCAAAAGACTAAGAATATAACCACCATCCGTCCCAGGCTAAGTCCCTCCTCAGTGTTTTTTCCAAAAGAATTAAAATCATCTAATACTAAAGGCATACATGGATATCTATGTTTATAGCAGCACAATTCACAACAGCCAAATTATAGAACCAGCCTAGGTGTTAATGGACAGATGAATAGACAAAGAAAACCTGATACATACACACACACACACACACACACACACACACACACACATACAATGGAATTTTATTCAAACCTAAAGAAGAATGAAATGATTTTCACGAAAATGGGTGGAACTTGGGAGGATTAAGTGACATAACCCAAACTCAGAAAGTCAAGGGTCCTAGGTTTTCTATTACATGTGGAAGCTAGGGAAAGCCAAGGCAGAAGGCAGTGTGCATATCATAAAAACAGAAGGAATTTCAATAGAATGGAGGAAGGGGAAAGCAGGGATGAAGTTTCTTTAAGAGAATAGATACCTCTAAAGCAGCAGGCAGCATATATGGGGAAGCAGAGCCCCATGGTGCTCGTGAAGCCAGCAAGCTGCCCAGTGGCACTGGGCTCCCTGTTCCCCCTTGGTCCCAAAGGGAAGAGGCACTGAAGGAGGAACAAGCAAATTGGGAGATTTCTGGAATGCTCTTTGAACAAAATTTGTCACCATTGCCTAGGATATTTGTCAGGGACAAGTTGCCTTGTAGAAAGGATCTTCAGAAAAAAAACAATACACAATACCCAGTTAAATTTGAATTTCAGATTCAAAATAAAGGGATATCCTTTTAGTGTAAGTATGTCCTAAATATTTCACAAGACATATGTAAACCACAAAGGCTCTTTGTTGTTTATCTGAAATTCAAGTATACCTGTGTTTTATGTGGGTTTTTTTTTTGTTGTTGTTGTTGTTAAACTTGACAACCTCACTTATAGCTACTTATTCCTGTCAACTGAAACAGAGTAAACTACTTAATAGATACAAAGAAACTCCTGATTCTTACAGGGGTTTGTTTGCGAGCCAGAAATATTTTTCACTTGTCAGGATAATGCCCTGGCTCCTCCTTTAAAAAAAAAAAAAGTGTGGTCACAAATACAACCTATTTAGGAAACTTCCTCATATTTAAAAATAATATAGTAAAATATGCAAACAAAGACAAATAAAATCCTAGATGCAACACAAAAATACTATTAGAGAAAGTAGGACCGAAAGAGTTGGGGGGTGGGGTGGGGCAATGATGTGAATGTGGCATTTCTCCATTGTCTTCCACTTTCATGGTTTTATATTTATTTGTTTGTTTTTAATTGGAGTTTATGGAGTTGAATCATGATCAAGGTGAAAGACAAGTGGAGCCCTAAGTCCTACATTGCAAGGACAGGAAGGTTGTCAGTTTGCCTGGCTCCTTTGAACTGAAAAGAAAAAGGAAATGGATGCTTTCCAGGACTGAGAACAAAGTTTATTGTCTAAGCCATAAAAAGGGCTGGGCAAGCATGTAGCCCTGTGTAAGTGTTTTTTTATTTGTTTTTGTTTTTGTTGTTATGGTTGTTGTTTGCTTTACAACATCATGATCGAAAAGTTAGTTCATCATCAAGTTGTACCCAACTCCACAGCCATGTCTCTCTCAGAATTGTCACCAAACTGTGCTCTTGAGCTCTGTCCCTAAGCAGATCAACAGTGCTCTTGTTAACTTTGAAGTGACTATGCCGTGATGTTTTCTGTGTAAACCCACTGAGAATGATGGAGGATACTTGCTTCCCGATGGCTCTACACAGACATCTGAAGTACCACATTATTTATACGACAGTGGCACAGGATAACAGACTCCTCCAGGCTCAAGGGAGACATTTTAGAAAAACAAAACTTGTATTTTGATATCTGGCATGTATAAAACAGTATAAACATGTGCTTTCTTCCTGAAGCTCCCTAAATCTAACTGCATTTGATCACCATTCAGTTCAAGTTCCTTTTTTGATGTTTAGAAGATTCTATAATATGGAGCAAAAAAAAAAAAAAAAAGACTTGAATGACCAGACTGTTAATAGTGGCTCTTTTTGTGGTATAAAAAAAAATGGATGCAAATTGGTTTTGCTCCTTTCCACATTTCTGTGTTGTGCAGACTTACAATAACAAGCATATATTGCTTTTCTAATAGACAAAAACTTTGTTAACATATTTTGCATTCATATAACAGTCTCATCACCTGAAAATTGCATAAAAATATTATCTTTGCTTCTAACCCTCGAATACCAAATTGTTATCTAATTCAAAAATATGCTAAGGTGATTTGCATGTCCACTGAAGTTTTGGAAGAGATGGACACTCTGCATTTCACAGTACCTCCAAGGTGATACTGATGCTACTGGTCTGTGGACCACAAATTTCTATGTCATCCCCCCATTATCTTGAGGTCATGCCATTCTTTCCCTGTTCCAAACTGTTTCCTACATTATTATCAATGATCACTTTAGAACATGAATCTCTTATTAGAGAGCCAAACCATAAAAAAATAACTCATAGCTCCCATATCTTACATGATAAAATATCACCTTTTCTATATAGCTTTTAAGGCCTTTCACAGGGCAGCTGCAAAATCCCCATGTAGCTACATCTTCTTGGACAGCTTCAAATAGCCTGTCACACTGAGCTGTTCTCAAACATGACTTTTTATGCCCTTCAATATTACACATAGTGAACCTCATGTTTAAAATTATTTCAATGAATTGCCTTTGATATCTCAAAACTCTATTCTCAGATTAATTCCTACTTAAGGACTTCTTTCATCCCCACCATTTAATTATTGACCCTAGTAATTAAATGCTTCCTTGTGCAATCTCCCATGGCAGTCTATATTTGTCTTATATAACACACACACACACACACACACACACACACACACAAAAGCATTCACATGTGTGCACAAAAAATTTCTATTTTTTTTGTTTTAGTGGAAGAAAGTGGGATTTGGAGTCACACAAATCTGCATTTGAATTTTGATTTCAACAATTTTCATTTCTTCCAAAATCTACCAATGCTACAAAAGTAGAAACTACTTATAAATTTTTTAAGACTTGTTTTAAGGCTCAGAATGTAGCCTTAGTGAATGTTCTATGTGCACTTAAAAAGAATGTGTCTTAGGCTCTTGAAGCA